GGAATGTAACCTGACCTGATAACCAAATAAGGCGTTGGCGATACATATGATACGACCGTGATACATAATAGGGACAGTAGCGGAATGCTTTTATTCAAACCTGTGCACATGGTATAGGCCCCTATACTATATGAGCGCTTCGTCACGGTCCGTCGACCACAAATAGCCTGGACCTAGACCCTTACACCCTAAGGGTCCATGTGCCAAAATAGTATACACGTTGGACCAAGATTACCCATGTGGGTAGTTATCTGAATCATCCCGTTTAATAGGGTTCTTTTTTATAAGGGTGGGGTACTATATTGGGGACCGAGGTCCTAGGACCTAAGAAAGGACTTAACTGACAGAACTACCCATATAGAACTCTTCTAGAAACACTATAGAAACCCTTGTGGATGCCTGTAAGCAACGCCACAAAAGGAGGACCATGGACCCTTAGGGTGTAAGAAACCCTAAACCCAACCTTTGGATCCAAAATCTGTAAGGTTTTTATGGGTTTAACTACAGAGCTGTTAGGCCATCAGCTACTATTTTCTAGGGCTTGGGGGGCAATTGGAAAGCCCTGAACTAGACCCGAGCCACTGGATCCTACCCCGAACCCCGAACTTGCTGAACTTCTGGCCAATGCGGGTGGGGCTTAGGCCTTATAAACGCTCAGCCCAAACCCTACACCTATTCGGGTTTACCTTAACCCCAGATAACCTTCCCTTTCAGGGACTCATTTAAAGAAATCCTAGTAAAAAGCCCTAAAAGGTAAGTTTTTTAATCAGGGTCCAGGGAGGGCTAATACCCTCAGACCTTATTTGGGTTTAGGGTCCTGGTCGGAGCGGGTAGTGGCCAGCCTTTGCAGGAACGCAGCATGCGCCAAAGTCACAATGACGTGTGGCCGATATTGCCTTTAGATTTTGTCATTTACTTCAGCTCCTTGCCCTCGATCCTATAAACCCTAAACCCTAAACCTGAGCTTTGGGCCTTTATAGGGTTTGTGGTGTCATGTAGTTCATGATCCAAAAAGCCCTAAACCCTAAACCTGAGTTTAGGGCCGAGAGTTCGTAATGGTTTCTAAGCAAGTGCTTTTCGGGTCATTTCATGCTTTAGGAAAGTCCAAAGAGATCCGGCGCGTCTGGGCCTCTGTCTGGGCCCTTGCGAAAGGACAAGAGCTTCACAGTTTAGGGTTTAGGGTTTAGTTGGGTTTTGGGTTTAGGGTTTAGTTGGGTTGAGGGTTTAGGGTTTAGTAGGAAGGCTGCTCGGAATTTTTGACCTAGGGTTTAGGATTTAAGCTTTCGGGGCTTAAGAATATAGTTTCCTTACTCCCACACCTCGGCGGACAGACGTGTTCAGGCCCAGGGTCGTTCAGATACTTTCGAGTGGTGATAGCAATGGTTGGCAACAACTTCAATAACCCAGAGACTCCAATATCCCTTAATTAAGGATTATACCTAACATCATAGTAGGATCCTTAATATGATTTAAGGTATACTCCTTAATTAAGGGATATTGGAGTCTTTGGGAATAATCAAGCCTGCAGGCACAGCCCTTGCTTTGTGAATGCCTGCGTTCAAGACGCATGATATATCATGATATGCCTGACAAAGTCCGAGTACGGACACCTTAGCCTAAGTAGGCTAACCACATAGACTCTAAGTCCCAAACCCCCAAAACGTGTCCCTAAATCCTATAGAGGCTGCTACACATCACTGCGCTCAGCGCAAGAAACACTCTCAATTGAAAGTGCTGACTTCAAATCCTGACTCAGGTCCGCAGTTGGTGTCATAAACGACCATCCCGAAAACGGAGACCATGAGACTAATGTAGGGGCCTTAATAATTAGAATGGGGTTTTGGGGTCCTTTATAGTATCATTATAAGAAGGAGCCCCCAAAACCCTATTCTAATTCTTAAGGCCCCTACATTACATCTAGGTTCCTGAGTGACCCCTTAATGATAAGGGTACCCTTTGTCCTGTGATTCATGCTGCGAGTATAGTTACTCATATATATATATATATACCTTACATCCTAAAACCCTAACCTCTAAACCACAAACTGAAACTCTGAACAGATCCTTAACCTGCTACCCTGGCCCCAAACTCTAAACCCTAAACCTCATCCCTTAACCCTCGTTTTAGCAACCCTCAAAGCCGCCCTTGAAGCAACCAGCTCTAATCACTAAAGGCTCAAGCATCTCCTCTGCACGCCCTCCTGGGGTGTAGGGCTAAGGGCTGCAAAAATGCATCAAGCAGTCTGAAGACGAATACAGACAAATACTATCAGGACCTACAGGGAATCCCGGATAGTCGTAGCAACTATTCGGCCTCTACATTACACGAGCACCATCAGTCTTACCAAGGACGATCTCCAGTGCAAGGCACAGCCTCAGATCCCACAACCCTAAAGCCTACAAAAACAACACCCTCGATTCGCACGGACCGGAACCGCAGGCAGCAACTGCTCCACGCCAACCTGATCATCATAAGGTGGACCGAATGCCTGCGCAGGGAAGAGGAGTGGTGGCATTGAGTATCCTAGACCCTAAACCCCCAAACCCTAAATCCTAAACCCTAAACACTAAGCCCTAAACCCTAAACACTAAGCCCTAAACCCTAAACCCTAAGCCCTAAACCCTAAGCCCTAAACCCTAAACCCTGAGCCCAAAAGCCTATAGCCTAAAGCCTAAGCCCGAAGTCCTAAGCCCTAAACCCTAAAGCCTAAAAGCCCTAAGCCCTAAGTCCCGAATCCTGGGGCTCTTTGGATCACTCGGGTATCGTCTCTGGTTCTGGGTTTAGGGTTTAGGGTTTAGGGTTTAGGGCTTCGTCTCGCAGCACGCTGCAGTCAAAGCTTCCAGGAAGGCGCCTTATGGTGATCGGAATAAGGTTTTGGTGTAATGTAGGGGCCAAAATAACTATCAAAACTATTTTTTGGGGGTTCTTATTATGATACTTAACCGAACGAAACGTGGTTCCCAATATGGAAACCCTACTTTCTACCATATCCCTACACCCTAAACCCTAAATCCTAAAACCCTAAAACCCTAAACCCTAAAACCCTAAACCCTAAACCCCTAAAATTTAGGTCCTTAGGGCCCTATGGGTCTGGCTTCTTGGGGTACTGGTATTTGGCTGTCCGGCGTAGCGGAGTTGTTAGATGCTATGAAGTCGTCGGAGATCCATAAGACCGAAATCCTGCGACTTCTGCCTGCTCAAAGGGTCCTAAGTACTTACATACACATATAAGTACAAAAACACTATATATATATATATATATAAAGTAACTAATTAGAGTAGAAAGTCTGGGTTCTTAACTTGCTATAGTTATAGTAAGAATTACTACTATGGTTTGGGTAAGTATCCCCCATATAGGTACTTAGGATCCTTTGGGCTATATCGTGGATGCCATGTCGCAGGAAAGGCCGCCTCAACCCTAAATCTTAAACCCTAGACTCCGAGACTGTCCCAGGCTCCTAGACAGATGGGCCTCCTCACCGAGAACGCCAATGACAGGCATAACTCGGCATGACAGACAAGCCCTTGCCTCAGGCAGCTCAGGGTTCGGGGTTTCAGGTTTACCTGAAGACCCAATAATCAGGTCCTGTGCTTTCGGATAGTAGTTATGTAGGTTAATATTTGGGAGAGTATATGATTATTAGGTACTCCGGGCAGGGTTTTCGGACTTGTACGGTTTAGGGAACTTACCAAGAGAAACCGAAGCCCCAATCTGACTCCTAATCATGTTACTGGACTTAGACTTAGACTTCGATGCCGATTAATTACAAGCATTTTTGACCAACACCGGCAACAGAGGCTGACATGATCACTGTGGCCACACTAGGGTTTGGGGTATTCTCCTGCCTCGGTGAGACAGATGTGCACAGACTTCCCAGGACACCGAGTGGGTTCCCAAACCCTAAACTCTACCCAAACCCTAAACTCTAAACCCTGAAGCCGCTGCCAAAATCGGGTTATGAAAGCTACAGGGGTTTGGGACTAGGGCTGACAGGTGTGCGGCTTGAGTATGTTGCGTTTAGGATGGTTTAGGAACCGAAGCAAGATTGAATCACGCGTCCGAGGAATAGAGTCCCCAAAAGATCGCGTACATGAACCTTGTTAGTCAAAGGTGTTAAGTTTTGGACATATTGGGCAAGAACTCAAATCAGCCTGCGCTCCCCAAAACAATTTTCCAAGGGCAGACCGGTGCTTTTCTGGCGATGACTAGCCGTGCAAGAGGGGCTCTGCAGTATGTGATTCCTATTCCCCAGAGTTTGAGCTTATCCGGGGCCCAGTGTAATGAATCCATTTTGGAACGTCGGAGCAGCATTTGACAAGACCTTCAACGGCATAAGGAAGAGGTTCGATGTAAGAGCATTGGCAGATGTGTACAGTGGCTGCACGACAGCTGTCATACAAAGCACGAACGACACATGTCAGCCGTACCATCATCATAAAACAGCACAGCACGACCATAAACCATGGTTTTGGGCTTCGGACCTTGGGTGTACGACCTTCAACCCTAAACCCTTATGTAACCCTAAACCCCCAAACTCTTAACCCGCAACTCAGGGATCTCGATCCGAGAAGCCAGTGAGTATGCAGCATTCTGAAGATGCACCCAGGCTGTCGCCTGGGCCCTACGCCCTAGAAACATGCAGCTTGCCGGTAGTGGGTTCCTTTGACAAGGCCATCACAAGGGATACTCTAATGGGCTGAATATAGGGACTTTCACGGTTAGAAACAGGCTTGGAAGTAAAAATGTGAATATTGGTATTCCAACCTCCATACTGTAGCGAATGTCTCCGTCAAGCAGGCATCCACATGTAGCTCATGGCCAGAGCTTGGCTTAGTTCGGGTGGAACCACAGACAAGTAATCTGGAACGCGCCGAAAACTTGCGAAGATACTCGCATACAACACATCTCGGCCTACAACCGAGCCTATGTTCACACGACCGCAACGTAGATCTTCACCAGGTTGGGAAAACCAAGCGGCGAAACTCCAGCACCCGCAGACTTAAACTGACCGAGAACGGCGGCGTCCCACCTTGGGCTTGTGGGGTGTCAGCAAGGTCTCATGGTACATGTCTTTGTGGGTTTCAATTTCCGGTTTTGGAGCCACCATTGAACACGAAGGGTTATACACAAGGGCTGGGGTGTTACTTACTGTGTTGCTTGAATGGATATTTGGGGTGTCTGCTGTCACAATTAATTAAACTACGGACTTTATTAGGTGCACCTGACGCCGAACTGCGAGGACTGACACAGGATGGTCGGTCTATACATGCGGTTTTGAATTTCTGGGGCGTTTACGCAGACGACATTCTTGGGGAGGGTTGCGACTCTAGATGTCGAGGGCAGAAGCATGTAATGTGATTCGGTCACTCACGCAAGCTAAACAACCAAACCACTCAGTGCCGTCGTTCCTTTCAAAAGGAAAAAGCTGAAACCCGAAAGTGCAAAGACCACTGTACTTATCCACGCGCGGACGAACATGTTCCCTGCGCAATGCAGCATGCTCGGTGCTGCTGAAAAATCAATGATGCCGCCGTATAGTCAATTGAACACTTCCGGCTATCATTGCCGTGCATATTGTTGCGAGACAATACATGAATTTCCACATTTCGTGATGTTTCGCAATAATTAAGCAAAACCCACGGTCCAAAAGTTCATCACTGAAAGCAACCGGACCTGTGTAAGTGTGCTTGAAATGTCTTCCATAATGCTCGTGCGCTCTCTTTTGGAGAGCGGGCTCGACTTTCAGCAGACGAGACACTGGGCTACTGCGTGACCCCCAACAAGGAAACGGGATTTCATTGCGATGTTTCGCAGCCGGGCCGTCGGCTCATGATTGGCAAGGCATCCTTCTAAGTGTACACGATGCCGAATGCTACTCACATTTTAGCTGTTACACATCCATGTCACGCTTACATGCGTGGGACAGACGAAGCGGCAAGCCGATCATCAAATACCGATTCAGTACGTCTTTCACGTATTTCAAATCATGTGCGATGTGGTGCAAATGCATCCTGACTGCCACGAGCAATATGCTAACTCAAAAATGTCAAGTGGTCGGAATTTACCATCCTACGAAACCATTGTATGAAAGGCCTGTTGAAAATCTCATATGCGCAAAAGACCAGGGCCCACATAGAGATTCTCAGATAAGGAGTGGGATCATTTTAGGCGCGCTGCACACGTCCATTTTTTTGCGTGGAAGCGAACATTAACAAAGAAATCATTGAATCTTCGATATGATTTGTAGGCTTACCTACATCTATATCTCTACGTGTCCGAACCATCAGCCTGTGTATCCGCACAAAAGTTCACATACATGTGGACGTAAGGCTTACACAAAGACACATATACACATATGTATATGTATATGTATATGTATATGTATATGTATATGTATATGTATATGTATATGTATATGTATATATGTACAGGTACATGTATATGTATATGTATATGTATATGTATATGTATATGTATATGTATTTGCATATGTGTATGCGTATGTGTATGTATATGTATATATGTATATATGTATATGTACTTCCTGCTCTACCTGGAGTAACTATTTAGCTATTGTCCCCCAGATGTGCAAACTCTGGGAGGTCCGGGTTGGCTGGATGCGCTGCCCGCACCTGTCGCAGGCCTTGACATGCAGTGTGAGATAATGGAGTATAACATACAGTATACGGATAACATGATATGATACCAAACAAGATACAAAACAATACAGCGGCATGTAGTCTAAATAATCTAAAAGTAGTATTGTAAACGTAATATGCACTATAGCATGAAAATACAACAAAACTCTTGTACAATAACATATGACAGAACATGGCACGATATGAATGACATGGTATGAAGATATGATTTGGGAGGATAATACGATGTGAAATGACACCGGACAAAACATGATAATCTAATATCAATCAACAATTATGCAATGATATAAGGCAAGCTATCTGTGAAACTACAATGCAATACAATGACAACACAAGCCAACCCAACCCAACATAAAGTTTTATGCAATACGATATAACCAAACTTAACATTATGTTGTGCGGTCTCGTATTGCATGTGCATGCTAGAAGTATATACATACCCACACATCGTGCGATGTCCTTACCTGTGTATCCTGGAGCTCCGTCTCGCACTGATCACGAACCCGCTTAAGGGCTTAAGGGTTTAAGTCCTGGGTTTTAAAGGCTATGCAATTCTCAAGACAGAGAGAGAGCGAGAGAGAGAGAGAGAGAGAGATAATTATATATACATATATATATATATATGTATAGACCTACTTTGGCTGCACCACCCCCCAGGCTTCGTTCCGTGATTAGTGCTAGGCTTGACAAGGTTTTGTTCGAATCCCAGTGACGCATAGGATTGCAATGCTGGTAGCTGCGGGTCTTACGCGAACTGGGGAATTCGAGTTTCACCACTTTTCGGGGATCGAATCTGCCGTCTTGGGGCAGGGCGTGGAGGTTCGTTGCAACACGAAATCCTAAACCCTCAAGCCCTAATTCCGCAATTGCACTGAGTCTGCTTTCTGGACGGCTTCAAATTTTTAGCTGAAGTGGACAAAGACACACCACTTGTTGGGAAAACCCTGACGCCGATAATCCTGTCATGTCATATGCTACGATCGTATGATGTATATTGTACTAGCTTGTACAAGATAGCAGATAGCATACACATGCACAATATCATGTTTGCTCGTTGAAAAGGTTTGGAAACCAGCGAATTCGCAGAAGGAGATCTCCAAGGCGCAGGTTTGAGCCAATGTTCTGTCCATGTGCACACCCTCCTACGCTAACCTGAAGCCTTCCAGTCGCCAAGTGGCATGTTCGCAGGTGTTGAACTGGATGAAGGTCCTCTGGATGGGCCTTTGAACTTGGAGCAGGGAACTTCTTGTGGGGGCCTCATTAAACAGAGCAGGCAATATTAATTTGGCTTCTATATCAGCGAGTCTGCAGGCAAGGTTTCATGACACTTGGGATAGCGTGATCCTGCTGATCCCCAAGCTTAAAATCTCCATCGGCGTTTTTTCCTGTACTCGGGCGTGGCATCTCTTCTAGGACCTTCAGGTCTCTAAACATTGGATGTCTTGGTGCTACATGCTGACAAAAATGAGAATATGAGCATCGACTTGTTGAACTAGGCTAAGCACTGCCATAAATGAGTTCGGAAATACCAAACAAAGTCTGACATGCTCCAGCCGGCGACTTGGCAGGAACTTCAAGAATCCAACTCCAGATTGGATACGCAGGACTCTATACCCATATCAACCCGAAGAGTAGCCTTCGCTATACCTGAATGCATGCTGAAGCTGCAATACTAGAACGAAACTTTAAGCGCCTTCAACTCCAAGCAAGCAGCAGTTCATTCTACAAAAGGAAAGGCTGAACCAAAACAAAACTCAAGCCCGAATCTCAGTGGAGACGCGAAGTGAAGCCAGGCAGCAAGCTATAGCCTTCTGTGAAGCTCCGACTCCAAACCGGCTCCTGGATTAGGGTTTAGGGTTTGGGGCTTGGGGTTTAGGGTCTTTTTAAGCGTACTAACCTCTTTCTACACACGAGACTCACCCAGATTCTGGGTTTACACTGTTGGAAAGGGAAAGCCACTCTCAGACCACACGCCAAAGACGAACTCCGTACCACCATACTTCATGAAGGATTGTCCCGGCCAACATCTGAAGCATCACTCAGAATCACTCATCCACATGTCATTCAGTCTTCGAGTCATCGTCCTCATCAGAGCCAGTAGCTCTTCGGGACCCTTTTCCTAATTTTTGTTTCTGGGGAGGGGGGTGTGCGTGGAGGTTCCGATTCGGGTTCGGCCTGTCATGTTATTTCTGTTGTGAGGGGCGTCGGGCGTGAGGTTCTAGTTCAGGTTTGGGAGCTTTGTCCTGTATTTTGTTTTTGGAGGGAAGGGGTAAGGGTGGGGTTTCGGCTCGCATTTTTTCCTTGCCAGGGTGAGCGGGGGGAGGTTCCGGTTCGGATTCGGGGCGGCGGCGACTGGGGCGTGGGGTGGAGGATCCGGTTCGGGTTGAAGTTCGGAATCCTTGTCTGAGGGTGATGGCGCTTCCGGTTCAGGTTCGGGGCGTGGGGCGTAGGGGTTGGGGGTAGGGTCGGTGGTTCCGGTTCGGGTTCGGGATCCTTGTAAGAGGGGGTTCCGGTTCCGGTGCAAGGGCGTTGCGGGGAGTTGCTAGGTTCAGGTTCGGGTTCGGCACCTGTGTGTGTGGAGGTTCCGATTCGGGTTCGGGGCGTCGGGCGTGAGGTTCCGGTTCAGGTTCTTTTAAATTTTCATCCGGGACACACCCATTCTTGTCAAGACGAACTTACACAGCCTGCTTGGCACTTTCACAGTGCCTGTGATCATGGCCTTGTGTTCAGGACAGTGACCTCTGGCTGCTCCACTCCAGCTTGCCAGAAAGCATTGCAAAGCAATGTTTTCCACCACCAGACCTGCGAGCACCGGGTGCCGTGTGCTGCCAGTGGAAGACAGCCACAATCGCAGTCGCTCTCCCAACTCCCGCTGCAGGGCCCGGTCCCGGGCGGGGACCCGTCGGCGGGAGTAGTTTTTGCGAATGATCAGGCAGAAAGGGAAGGTTGCCAGCATCACTCAAGGAGTCTGATCCGCTGCCCTCACCACCCTGCCGCCAAAACTCAGCCGATAATGGGAGACATGGTGGTGTAGTCTCCATCTTGATGAGGTCATTGTCCCAGTCCGCAGCCGATGGTGAGTCTGCCGTTACATTCACGCGAAACAATGCAGGGAAGTCGGCGACGACGAGTGACCGGAAATCGAGAGCGATCGCTGGATGACATGGTGTCAAGATGTGTGGAGACTGCGTCACGGTGAACTGGAGCCGACAAGACTAAAATGTAGGTCAATCGGCCATCATTACAGCAACGTGTGTTGGGGGGCTTGTGTTTTTGGGCTCGGGGTTTTAGGTGTTTGTTCTAACCGGACCTTTTTGAGGTTTGGGCATTTACGCTTTCAGGTTTAGGGTTGAGGGGGTGCACTATATAAGAGCCAACAGCATTCCCTGATTTTCCCCGCCTCCCCCCCTTCCCCGACACCCCGGTTGAGTTCAAACCCGGGTCGAGATGGTTGACCATTGAGGGGAGGTCCTAAACCCTAAACCCTAAACCCTAAACCCTGAACCCTACCAGTACCATAACTCTCGTGCGACTCTCTCTGCGACTCTGGGAGGGC